CGTGCTTCTACTTTCCCCCGTGTGCTTGCATGTACAAAAGTATTCGATGAGTTGATATTCGTGTTTTATTTATTTTTTTTTTAAGCGTAACCTTCTGTCCTCAGGTAAAATCGAGAACTGGATTTCAGAAAAAAAATGAGTAAAAAACGAGTAAAAAAATGTGGCAATAACCACCCATTTTTCGTGTGTTTTTTTTTTCCCTCGCAGAAGTGAAGTCGGACTGGGACGAGCCCGAACTGCCCATCGAGTGCCCCCTGAACGGCCGCTACCGATTCACGTACCGCCGCGGAGGGAGGCGTCACGGCGGGCGTCTTGGCGAACAGCCCGTCCGAATTCTCCTCCAACTGCCCCTACGGCTTCGGCTTCAACGTCAATACCGCGACTGCTCCGGTTTCAGGCCTTCAGCGTAAGTGTGCTTTAAGTCTCTCTTTCTTTTCCTTTTCTTTTCCTTTTCCTTTTTGTCTGTTTTCAGTCTTTCCTCTATGTACTGTTTTATTTTCCTTTGTTTTTCGAACATGTCAGTTTCGGGTTAAAAAAGTCGTGCAACATCGGGAATTTGAATGTGTAAGCCATTTTTATTTTTGAAACACATCTGCAACTTCAAGAAAGCGCACGAAATGCAGCAGATGTATCCCCCAACTCTTAAGGCCGCAAGTGGCGGACTCTCTCTCTCTCTCTCTCTCTCTCTCTCTCTCTCTCTCTCTCTCTCTCTCTCTCTCTCTCTCTTCTCTCTCTCTCTCTCTCTCTCTCTCTCTCTCTCTCCTCTCTCACTCTCTCTCTCTCTCTCTCCTCTCTCCTCTCTCTCGTCTCTCTCTCTCTCTTCTCTCTCTCTGTCTCTGTCTCTCTCTCTCTCTCCTCTCTCCTCTCTCTCTCCCTTCTCTCCTCTCTCGTCTCTCTTCTCTCTCTCTCTCTTCTCTCTCTCTCCTCTCTCTCCCTCTTCTCTCGTCTCTCTCTCTCTCTCTCTCTCTCTCTCTCTCTCTCTCTCTCTCCTCTCCTCGCTCCCGCTCAGCACCGAATAACCGCATGCCGTATGTTGTCCCCCAGGAACGGACCTGCAGTGCCTGGGCTCGTGGGTGGGCGAGGACGGCAAGAACTACCTGGCCGTGCGCGACGCCCGGATCAACGACGGAGACCCCGAGCCGCAGTTCAGGTGTGGGGTGAGTATCCCTTGGCCGTCTGAGCCGTCCGAGGATCTTGTGTAATTACTTTCGCTGTGAGAGTAAGTCGTGTTCCACAGTCTTTCAGCCGGTTTAAGTTTTACGGCATCACTGCTTTGATTTGATGAACACGTCTGTGTCTCGACGTGTCACGCCTCTGGTCCTTGCGGTTATGTAGTACTAGTTATGTTCAGTTGTAACGAAAGAAGACTTGTAGTTATTGCAGGGCTTGCCAGATGTTTTATGTGAATATTACAGTGAAACATTAACGAATTGCACGACCTGTCCCTATCACTGCGCCGCCCGTGCTATCTGTGGAGCGCGTGACTGAAAAGTACTACTGTAAGTGTAACGAACCATGTGACAAGTATCGATCACATTGTACTAATGCGATACAAGTTGTCATCGTCGGTACAGAAATGTCAAAAATCAGTGAAAGTAGGCGGGAAGGTAACAATAGAGGAAAGGAGGGGGAGAGGGGGGAGGGAGGGGGGGATGGTCTCTGACGCCTGCCTGCACGCGCGTCACACTTACATGCTTCTGTCACGCTTCTCATGTCACACGTCGCACTCAGGGGGTAATGTCGTAGGCGATAAACATGTAATCGGTGGAATGCAATTTGACAAGGCTTTTTCGTATCGTGTAATCGGTGACGTTAGCTGTTAAAGAGGCCGTTCTAGATGCGACAAGGCGGAGTGAGAGGCTGCTAAAAAATGTAACGGAAGGAAGAGCCAGCTTTTAGCCTTCGGAATGATACATGGCGCCAGCAGCGTTTCGTCTAAGTAAGGGACCCGCTGTAGTGGAGACTTGAGGCAACAGTTAGTAGTGGCGAGTAATAGTGTGAGCGAATGGCAGCGGTGAAATGGAAGTATGGTGACGGAGAGTAGAGAGCATGGTGTAGCAAGTTATCAGAGCGTGGAAGAGCAGTTCTAGCACTGCCTAAATCGCGCCTTTCATGTAACGGCAGGCTGTAACGGGTATTTATCAGGAACGAGATAAGGAGGTTGGTCCGTGGCCTGCGGTAATTTTGTTCTGAAAGTTAGTCACGCCAATGTCAGGGAAAAGTAGAGTAGACTGTAGACGCGATTGTGTAGCGACATGGGAATATCTGGAGCGTCACTGATGTCTGTTGACAACTCTCTTCATTAAGATGTAATCCAGAACGTAGAATAATTTATTCCCGACTTGGCTGTGCATCTTTAACACCCCTATCGCGGTCAACTTCCCACAGTACATTGAGTATCGGCTGAGGAGTACATTACACATTCCCGGCCAGCAAGATAAACGTTATACGTGGTGTCGCATCCAGCGTACTGATGCGTTCTCACTTCCGATCCAGCGGCAGCATCGGGCGCCGGTGGATGTGTATAGAGAGAAAAAAACATTCTAGAACACTTCTGCTCTCGTCGGTTCGCCTTGTGACAAAGACAGCGTATACTCACTGGCCGAAGAATTAAGGCATATAATTTGGTCTAATTACTAGCCGCTCCCAAGGCAGCTCTCGGCGATAAATCACGGTACACGAGCGTGACGTATTTCTTATTTCTTCCCTTCACAGATGTTCCTGGAGGAGGCCGGGACGGGCAGGGTGCTGCTGGCCTTCAGCGAGGATTCCACCTGCGTCAACGGACTCAACTCTGCCTCCGACGGGTAAGGGACTTCTCCTTTTTAGCTCTCTGTTTAGACCCGTTCGTTATTTAATACTCTTTCGAGGCCTTATTCGAGCGCTGCTGCTTTGGTGACGTAAATAATTCCTCATTGGGAGTGAAGCGATACGTCAGACATTTCTTACACCTCATTTTTATTTACTATCGAGTGCTCACCATCTTCCTTCCTTCCCTCACAGCTTCGAAACCTACGACCTCACCTCGTACCCCGCCCCGCCGCTGCCCCCTCAGGTGACGCTGGCCAACTGCACCTTCCCGCGCTCGCTCCTCGGGTACTGGCACCACACCTACGTGGAGGAGAGGACCATCATGTTCAAGGTGAGTAGCAGCCTCCGACGACTTCCTTGGTCTGGATGCCCGAGATGTGGGCCGCATTCTACGTCGCTCGTGAGGCGGACATACAGACAAATAGGCAGACATGTAAAAGCAGGAAGCCAGAATTAGACAGACAGATAGACAGACAAAAACAGGAACGGGACCAGACTGGACAGATACAGACAGACAGGACAGGGACAGACAGCGACCCCCCCACAATGAAAAGATAAGACCCAGAAACGGCGAGGAAACGAGAGAGAGAGAGGCCTTTCCGTTGCACCTTGCCGTATAGGCGACGCTACACGGATGTCTGGCCACTTATTAAAAACCGGAAACACATGTCCCGCAGCGCGATGTGTGATCTTAACGTTTAAGCTCTCTGGAGTCTCTCTCCTCTCTCTCTCTCTCTCTCTCTCTCTCTCTCTCTCTTCTCTCTCTCATCTCTCTCTCTCTCTCTCCTCTTTCTGCTCTTCTCTCTCTCTCTCTCTCTCTCTCTCTCTCTCTTCTTCTCTCTTCTCTCTCTTCTCTCTCTCTCCTTCTTGCTTCTCCTTTTTTCTCCTTTCTTCTTACTGTCCCCGATGCCGTGCCGAGGATAGTTGACGACGAACTGGGAAACTTTCGTTTAAAAAGGTCTGAGGGACCAAGAGGCAAAATTACTTTCGGTGAGTCCTTTTCTCTTTTTGTGTTTGCGGAGTGCGGGGAGGGGGGGGGCTGGCATCTTCCTTCGACGCACCGGAAGGAGGGATATTGAAATGCCCTTCCGCCGTCTCGCCTTCCCCCTCTTCTCTCGTCCTTCTCCCTCCTCTCCTCCCTCCTCCTCCCTCTCTTCTTCTTCTTCCTTCTTCTTCTTCTTCTTTTCTCTTCTTCTTCTTCTTTTCTTCTTTTCTTCTTCTTCTTCTTCTTCTGTCTCCTCCTTCTCCTTCTCCTTCTGCTCCTCCTCCTTCTGCTCCTTCCTCCTTCTGCTCCTCCCTCCCTTCTGGCTCCCTCCTCCCTCCCTTCTTCTTCTTCTTCTTCTTCTTCTTCTGTCTTCTTTCTTCTTCTTTCTTCTTTTCTTTCTTCTTCTTCTTCTTCTTCTTTCTCCTCCTTCTCCTTCTCTTCTCCTTCCCTTCTCCCTTCTCCTTCTCCTTCTCCTTCTTCCTGTCTCCTTCTCCTTCTCCTCTTCTCCGTTCTTCTTTCTACTTCTACTTCTACTCTACTTCTACTTTCTACTTCTTTTCTTCTTCTTCTTCTTCTTCTTCTCTTCTTCTTCTTCTTCTTTCTCCTCCTTCCTCTCCTCCTTCCCTCCTCCTTCCTCCTCCTCCTTCCTCCTCCTCCTTCCTCCTTCCTCCTCCTCCTCTTCCTCCTTCCTCCTCCTCCTCCTCCTCCTCCTCCTCCTCCCTCCCTCCTCCTTTCCCTCCTCCTCCTCCTCCTCCTCCTCCTCCTCCTCCTTGCAGTCGTGCCCTAGTGCCGTGCGCTGTCCGGCATTGCTAATTGGGCGGAAGTGATATTCTCTCTCCTCTCTCTCTTTTTCTTTCTTTCTTTTCTTTCTTTCTTCTTTCTTTCTTTCTTTCTTTTTTCTTTCTTTTCTTTCTTTCTTCTTTCTTCTTTCTTTCTTTCTTCTCTCTCTCTCTCTCTCTCTCTTTTTTCTTTTTTTCTTTCTTCTTTCTTTCTTTCTTTCTTTTTTCTTTTCTTTTTCTTTCTTTCTTTCTTTTTTTCTTTCTTTCTTTCTTTCTTTCTCTCTCTCTCTCTCTCTCTCTCTCTTCTCTCTCTCTCTCTCTCTCTCTCTCTCTCTCTCTCTCTCTTTATCTCTCTCTCTCTTTAATCTCTCTCTCTCTTTCTCTCTCTCTTTCTTCTTCTCTCTTTCTTTCTTTCTTTCTCTCCTCTCTCTCTCTCTCTCTCTCTCTCTCTCTCTCTCTCTCTCTCTCTCTCTCTCTCTCTTCTCTCTCTCTCTCTCTCTCTCTCTCTCTCTCTCTTTCTCTCTCTTCTCTCTCTTTCTTTTCTTCTCTTTCTTTCTCTCTCTCTCTCTTTCTCTCTTCTTTTCTCTTCTTCTCTCTCTTTCTCTCTCTCTCTCTCTCTCTTTCTCTCTCTCTCTCTCTCCTCTCTCTCTCTCTCTCTCTCTCTCTCTCTCTCTCTCTCTCTCTCTCTCTCTCTCTCTCTCTCTCTCTTCTATCTCTCTTCTCTCTCTCTCTCTCTCTCTCTTCGTTGTTTAAATTATCTTCCCAATGTATCTCTTTCTTTTTCTCTTTTTTTTCCCTCCTAGTTGGCGTTTTTTTTCTCCCCCTCCTTCCCCCCTTCTACATCCCCTTCCTCCCCGTTTCCCTGTAGAAACCAGTGTCTATCTCTGCTCATCTGGTAGATTTATCGCCCTCACTGGAGCGTGCAGGATGGCCATGTTACGCAGCATTAGTAATACTGGAAAGTTAGTGAGAGTTTTTAGTCGTTGGCAATGCTTCGCTTAGGCCGCTCTCCTTCTGCTGAGCCACTCCCCCCCCCCTTCGCAACCCTCTCCCACCGTTGCCTTAGCATTGCTTTGTGTGTGGCGGCTGTCGGTGTGTCGGGTGCTTTTCGTCGATCCTACATCGCTCGCTGTTCCTTCACCAAAGGGCTTGGTGGATGGTGCGGTTAACCCTCAACCCCGCTCGCTCTTCTCTCTTCTCTTTTCTCACTCACGGTTGGCTGAGGGTGTCACCCGTCGACGGTCCTCGAGCCGCTGACTCACACGGGTCGGAAAGGAAATCGTCGTCACATTGTAGGATTCGAAGAATTGGAAGAAAAGGCATCCTATAAAATTCAGGACGGCGGCGGTGCGGTTGCGGCGTGACTTCCCTTTCCGCCAGGGTGAGGGTTTGTTTTCAGGATGCTGTGAATCCTGCCTCTGCCTGACGGGGCTTGCAAGACGGAGTATGCTATTCCATTCCCGATACGCCCAGCGAGTCAAAAAGGTCAGGTGCATGCAACATTACCCATCTTTCGCAAAACAAGAAAGTCGGGAATTCTTGCAAGTCTAACATTCTCCATTGTATTTTCCCTCCCGGATATGCAACGCAATTCCTCTCCCGTGTGGATAGTCTGACGTGACTGCAAATCGGAGTAATGAAGTGGGAAATGTGTTGCATTAATGGTAGATACCTCGACGGCACCTTCTGGCACGGCTGCGCTGTCACTGCCGCCTCCGACCCGCTGGCTGTCTGTCCTGCTTTGCATTCCGCCGAAGAGTCACATTCGACGCTCGCTTTTCCGGACGCTCAGACCTTCGCCGCCTGCATTTAGAAGACTCCGCGTCCCCATAGTCCAAGCGGGATGCTCCTTTGTCCATCCCGACTTCCTTTGTGCAGCCGCGGCGTGCTATACAAAGTCTTAACTTGGAAATGAGGGGAAAAACGTTATTTACACGAATGACGCTCACGCATTGCGGTTGTCACTTGATTTGGTGCTCAGGGAGGTCATTGTAAAAAAGAAAAGGAAGCAGCGTGCACTCGATTAGTTCAGCCGTTTGCCACGAACACCAACGGGGGTGTTACGGTCACGCGATTAGAATGTTGTCTTTGCAGCTTTTTGCAACTGGCAAGAAAAAGTCATTGCGAAAAATAGATTTACCGAAGTGCGACAGCGTTGAGTAACTGTCGCCACACGTGTATTGATATTCTTTGTTTTTAATGTGATTATGCAATTCAGTTGAGTATGACCCGTGTCCTGAATAATTCAGTAGAGTAGGGTCCCTATCCTGAATTATTCTTGCTCTTGATATTTGTGAAACATTTACATGTAAATGAATATAAATTCGTTTTGAATTTATTTACTGTCCCCGCACTCCATTATCGCAGAGCAGACCACACCAATACCACGAACGCATCACGTCCACAGTATGACTATCAAGAAATCCCTTCAGTCACAGCACAGCCGGTACTGGCACTGTGACATGGCATTTGTGCTTTCAGCGCAGTGACACTCTTGGCACTTGGAAGCAGTGTCATGGTGACAGCTTGGTGGGCGGGCCGGCGGGGGCGTGGTGTTTGGGCGTCCTTTTTAAGGGCGATTGATCGTCGAGCATGAAGGTCACTAAGAAGGTCGCCAGGATGGGATGGCGAGCGGATTAGAGAAAGTAAATGGATTTTGAAGGGCCTTTCCTTTCACGGGTGACAAAAATAGAACAACTCGTAGGTATTATGGGGAAACTACACGTGTGGTCAGCGCTTTTATGTTTTGCAAAGATGTTTTAAAAGAAAATTTTAAGTGAAGATACGACATCATTCTGCCTCAAAGAACGGTATGATTTATAGCGATCTTTGGCTCGCCGCGGCCGTCGCTCAAACCGGGGCGGCGCGTGATCTGCGGTCGCCCGGCTTCCCGTGACCTGACGGCGCGCAACGAGGGCCTCGGCCTTGGGCAGGGACACGCGGCCTGCAGGCGGCCATCGGAAAGCAGAAGCTCCGCCCCAGAGCATGAAGCGACAGCGATTTGATAAGGAAAGGCACCACTGGAGGGGAGAGGGGCGGCGGCGAGGCGAAGCAGGGGAGAGGAGGGCGGGCGTCCGGCGGCGGTCGGGGTGAACGTGCGCACCGCGGCGATGAATGTCGAGGTGCGGCCGGCGGGAGGAACAGGAAGTGACACACATCTATTTTTCCTTGGTCGGCTGCGCTTTAAATCGGCTTATGTGGTGTTCCCTTTTACCCGGTGGTTTAGTCAGCTAGTCTCCCTTTCGCCTGGCGAAGGCATGAGGGAGTGCCCAACAGAGAAACTTGTGCGACAAGCCCTGTTTCGTCCCCTCATAAAAGGACAAGCACAGCAGTCCATTAATCTCGCAAGGTTTGGTCAGAAACACAACTATCATGCTGCCCGTGAGCCTGAAGGGCAACCTTGCCAATTAGGCAGCGGCAGGCAGTTCACGCGGTCCATCCCCGCGCGGGCAGAGTGGCCAGCATGCCGCCGGGATACCCACAATCCCGCATGGTCTATATGAGTGTTGCGGGACAGACCGACGCTCGCCTTTATTTTCGCTCGCACGCCATCATAAAGCAGCTTGT